GAGGATAATAAGAGCTGCAGAACCGAACCGCTCAGGAAAAAATTTGTATAATTGCTGGCGTATGCCGATGACATGGATATTATCGGTAACAAAAACCGCGAAGTTTGTTCTGCCTTTTACAAGTTGGACATACTGCAGCGAATTAAAATAGTTTGAATGGACACCCACGCTCCAGCTCAGATAATATTCAACTGGGAACCCGCTGGTGGTAGCAGAGGGAGATTGAGGCTCCCATTGCAAAAGGAAGACCAAGCGGAGAAGGGCTTGGCCTCGCTTGGCATTTCCAACCGGCGTCAGTTGGTACAGAGAGTTGCGTGCTTTCTTGAACTCGCCAAAATAAGGAGAAGATGGCTAACAAACTAAAGAGATTTAAGAAAGTTTACTGTCGAAAATATTTTTGAGGCGGCATGCAACCTATGTATTTGAAAAATTTAACTCAATTAAATTAATACGATAAATTAAATATTACAATATGCGTATTAAAGGAAAGTATTTGAGAAATCTTTGATTTAGAAATATTTTCAATTGAGTTGTCACCTATTTAAATAGTAAAAACTACAAATATTGAAAAAAAATTAAATTTTACAAGATTGGTACCAGAAGAAAAGTGTTTGAGAAAGTTTTACTGGAAAATCTTGTTTGAAAAGTTGCCACCTGTGGAAAAGCCGAATATCAGAAAAATTTAAAAAATAAAAAATTTTAAACAAATGCTCAAATATCCTGTTTTAATTCCTTCTAAGTCCAAACCTCTTTATTAGATTCAAAGAGCTTTATAAAAAAAGATGTTAATAAAAATTTTAAACTTAAAAATTTAAAGTCTTCTTTACTCTTTATGAATTTGGGTGTTAGTTAATATAGTTTTAAAGGTATTTAGAAAGTAGGTAAAAAATTAACTTCCCTCTGGAAATTAAATTTATAGTCATGTAACTCAACTCTACATTAGGGTGGTAAAAAAGTAGAGTCGGGATTTTAATGTTCTCACCCCCTAGGAGGAAAAATTTACATATCCTAACAAGACTCGGTATGTGTAGAAACATAGCTTTTCGATCGAAAAATATGGATGCTTAAGAAATCTAAGTCAAATCTAAGTCTATACCATTTCTGTGAAATGTTGTTTTCTTTTATGTATATATAAAATACATGAATCACTTTAAGCGCTTTTAAGTGACCTCTAAATATTTTTTGATTTAAAAAAAAGCAGGGATATATTTTAAAATCATCCTAGGAGGTGAGACATTTCGACTTTACATTTTTCGGACCACCCTAGTCTACATAGTACATATCTCGCACTTTCTTCAGAGATTTATTGATTCAATATTTGTTGTTTTTGATACTGTGCACAAAAAATATTTTAAGACCGTTTCTAAATTTATCTTCCATAAAAGCTTAAATCAAATCTGTTTGTTATTTGAAAAAATCAGCCTACTTTATAAATACTTTCAAAACAATATTAACTAAGAGTTTTGAATTTATTGCACACAAATATTTTGACGGCGAAGTGACGTATGTCAGATATTTTGTAGTTTATAACATGATAAAAACATAGCAAGGTAGAACCGTTCTCTCAATTTGTCGGCCATGACTTTTTTTTTTGAAGTTTGCCAACATTTTAAAATCATATAAAAGTGAAAATAAAAAATTGAAATTGTTCGAAATTGTTGTTGCTTGAGATTGAAAATCAAAATGTGTGTGTGAGTTTGTGAGTAAATTTGAAAATTAAATTGTTTGGAAACGTCAAGAATTTTAAAAGTGACTTTCAGCGGTTCTACCTTACTATATTTTTATCATGGTTTATAATATTCACAAGCTTTCGAGATTTCAGAAAAATACAGAAGTGTTTCGACCGTCAATAGTAGATTTCATATACATTTAAGCAACTTACGGTTTAAACGCTGAAAATCTAATAACGGTAGTGGTGACTAGTACAATAAAACTGCAATAGAAATACACACTCAGCATACGATCTGGCTCCGATCCGTACTAATGTAGAAAAAAAGAAAACATTTGAAAAAGACAAACTTTACTATTTTCCCGCTTGAAGTGAAAACATAAAATGTTATTACAACCAATGAACCTTTCAAACTCTTCACTTCAGTCACGCACTCACCTTTTTCTCCAGCTCATCATCCTTGAAGGACAAAAACACCGACTGACAATGCTCCGCACGTAAATGGTCAATGCTACGTGCATCTATCGCACGCATCAAATACTCATTCACTTCATCCTCTGGATCTTTAGCACCTTCCGCGCTGTCGCCAAAGCCAAATCTGTAAATAAATATATTCGCACATTAATTACAATGGAGAACCAAATTTACTCGTATGTAGCATATGAGGATTAAAAAAAAAATACTGTTAAATAGAAACGAAAACCAAAATAGAGCAAGTAGAAAAGGTGACGCACACCAGCTGCGAAATATAACAAAAAATAAAACATTTTGCCGTCACTTCAAATCGTCTACTCACTTGGAGGCATTCTTCTGTGTGCCAGCGTGTCCCATCATCCGCAGCTCCTTGGAAATGTTGCCATTCACCTGCAGTCGGTTGCGTGATTTCTTGTGCTGCACGCACGCACGAATGCACACATGTGTCGACGTTCATATGAATATAAACATGAAAATAGAGGATTTTTTTTTTTGTTTTTTGTTTGTTGAGGCAAAATTATTTATGTTTTAGTACTACGATTGCAGCACTCAGCTTTCTATGCTACTATTTTAGGCACTTATTTCATTGGCTTTTGACACTTTGCATAACCCGTCTTATTTGCTTATACATATGTACATTTATATGTATGTATGTACATAAATAATTTATTTTACATGTAGCAAATTCAGTTGGATGTACAGAATATACACGTGCTTGCACATACATACATACATATGTACATACAAATGTTGGCGGGCAGTCACGCGGTTGCAACACGTGCCTGGCATCAAGTGGACTTTGTGCATTATTTATTATTACATACGTACCCACACACACACACACGCACACATACTCGTACACTTACCGGTCGATAAATATCACCTGGCACTATGAGATAAGTTTCGATTTGATGATCTTTCAGATATGTATTTCGTTCGGCACCTTTGCCCTCCTCCACTTCGTAATCGCCATCCAAACACTTGAGTGTCTCCTTGGTGATGTGGACGCGTCTGTTTGAGACAGAAAAAAATATGGAAAATATGTAAATGGGAAAATTTCTGCAAATTTAACAAATTGAATACGGAATAAAATTTGCATACATATGTACGTCTTTCATCCATATACATATTTGAGAGAGTGCTTGGGTAATAGTTTTGCTTTAGGAAAATTTACATGTTTAGTTATGTTTTGGTTACTCAGGGCTTTTGAGAAGCGTAACTTTCCCCAACAAATTGGAAGGTGGGACACCCTACTTATTTCTTATATGTATGTACATTTTTATGTTTTATTTCAAAATCAAAAAGGGTACCTGCAAGTATGCAACACATCATTGGTAGCGGGTATATTAGGTTAAAGTGATAGGCCCATGAGACCCACTTATACCATGAGAAATATTACCTTTGTACTACTCTCTTTGGAATGCTAGCTGCTAAACTACTGAAAACCCGCAGACAATTCCGAAAAAGGACTTTCGAACTAGCCTCATTTATGGGAGATATTCTGATATAGCAAATAAATCCACGGACTACATGCAAAAATCATAAATTTTTATNCATACATATGTACGTCTTTCATCCATATACATATTTGAGAGAGTGCTTGGGTAATAGTTTTGCTTTAGGAAAATTTACATGTTTAGTTATGTTTTGGTTACTCAGGGCTTTTGAGAAGCGTAACTTTCCCCAACAAATTGGAAGGTGGGACACCCTACTTATTTCTTATATGTATGTACCTTTTTATGTTTTATTTTAAAATCAAAAAGGATACCTCGAAGTATGCAACACATTGGTAGCGAGTATATTAGGTTAAAAGTGATAGGCCCATGAGACCCACTTATACCATGAGAAATATAACCTTTGTACTACTCTCTTTAGAATACTAACTGCTAAACTACTGAAAAACCGCAGACAGTACCGAACAAGGACTTTCGAAGTAGCCTCATTTATTGGAGATATTCTGATATAGCAAATAAATCCACGGACTACATGCAAAAATCATAAATTTTTAACATTCCGAAAGGGAATGTAGAAAACCCAAATTTGGATAACGAAGCCGTTCATATCTACAATCAAGGGTGCAAAATTGACTGCGGTGTAAAAGGATTGGATTGGTATCGCTCAGTATCTGCTGTTGGCCAGCATATTCCAACCTAAAGTTCTGAATATGTATGTGGCACTGAGTTATTCTGATAGCCAAGCAGCAATTTTAGCTTTAGCATTTTAACCAGCGTGTACCGCAACGAATACCTTCAGGACTGGGGCATTTGTATCCATAGAAGGTAGGGAGAGGGAGCGTGCAAATTGGCCAATGAAGGAGATTAGAACTGGTACTTTGTTAAAAAAAATTGGTCTAAACCATTAAATATTCGCTAATTTAATATTGAGTGGCAGTTCAGTAATCACTAAAACGAATCACCTCTTTATCCTTCAATCAGCTGCGAGAAAGTGCTTCAGTTGTGGTATTCGCAACTAGTCTCTTTAATCCAAACACAGAGTGATGGATTTTCGGCTTTGCGAAATGAAAAAATTCCATTACCGATTCTGGTTCGCTAGAGAACAGAAAGACTTTGATGTTGCATATGTAAGTTCTTGACCTCGCCCAGCGCCCCTGCGTAGTAGACAAAAGACTATCTATTTAAGAGTAGTCTACTCGTTGGAACCAACTCGTGTATCCTTTATAGTGATTTGTCTGCCACATAGTTGTTTGCGATATAATTTTTCTTTAGTAGCCATATGCATATGTATGTATGAATTTATAAGCGATAGCTTTATTAGAATACGTTCTGACGCCCCAAGATATACATGATTTACACACTCAACAAGAAATGTTTGAGAACAGTATGGACGGCCACAAGATTCCTATTGCAGCATGGCTATTAAGGTAGATGTTTCCCTCCCATATAAACGTTATATAACTAGTTAAGTAAGCCATCCATGGCTTATTTAGCCCACTATAAGAAACATTTTACAATTGAAATCGTGAGTTTTTTGATTATAGGCTAATGGTCCTAAGAGAGTTTATGCTAATGAGGTGGCCGTAAATAATAACTGATCGGAAAACGGTTTTACTCGGTTCAATGTGATCATGTTACACAACTTTTCTGCACTATTAGAATTTCGAAATCGAGAAATTTGGTTTTTTGGCTACACCCAAATAAAAAAAATATGTATATAAATATTTGCATAAGTGCAACCTATTCGGTAAGTATCGAGCGTGGTTCCAACCGGACAGTATTAATTTCTCAGCCACTTCGACGACCGCCCAACCCGAACTTCGCAACTGTTTAAAGTGACGCTTCTGGTTGGACGTATGCGCCTGTTACCCACCGATGGAGCCGCCCTCCCGTACTTGCCATCCATATAAACACATAAAAATGCTGTTGATAGAGAGAGAAAGAGAAGCAAAGACAACGTCACTGACATACGGTGGTGAATTTTCGTTCGAAAAACCCATTAGGTAGGTCGTGTCAGCTGACACGGTGTCCGGTTTTACGTCGGTGGGTAACTGGGCCCTCAATATGTATTGCCGGCTAAAATAGCTCACAACATGAAAGGTCCATCCGGTTATCGTGCTTTGTTGTGTTGAAGAGAGACCTTACGGTGGACCTGATCTTACTTTTGCTGCATCTGATAATAAAGAATCCAGAATCTAGAAACGATTTGCAGGTTTCTTCTTGGCATCTTTTAGATATGTACGTCCCTATGTATCACTGCTTTTAAATCCTTTGGCGTTTATTTTTAAATTTTTCTAACACAATGCTAGTACACTATTTATAAACTTTTACAGCCACTGTTCGCTTTTACTGCGGTTATCTTGACAAGCGAATTTGCCTCATACCTGCATACTTACAATCATAGTAAGTTAAACTAAGGCAAAAAAAATCCTCAAACAAGAATTTACTCGCAGTTGTGCCAATTTCCAAACGAACAAAAACAAAAACTAAGGAGACATAGTTAGAATCCAAGAGCGTTGAACGACGTGGCTGGCGGAGGTGCTTTGAAGGCGGTTTGGAAAAATCGCGCAAGCAAGCGGAAGCATAAACAACTTTGAGGGTTCCTAAACTTTTCATATACATAACAGCATGTCCATGTAGTTGTTAACGGATTTGGTTGTTGCTGCTGTTGTTGTCGGTCGTTGGTCGACGGTCGTTAAATTGTGTTACATCTTCTCTTTTATGCTTTAATGGCCATTGAGGCACTTGAGAGTCCAACGAGGCAAGAAATTGATTTCGTGCCGACAACGCCAACGAATACAAAAAAAAACAAACGAAGACCAGTGACGTTTGTGTGGGTTGGGTGAGTGTGCTTGGATGGGTGTATTGTATTTTGGGCTTCATATACATATGTACATATGTATATTAGTTTGCATGTGTGTAGCCATAAAATCCAGTAGTGCACATGTTCGCTTGAAATTAAATTAAGCTAATGAAAGTGAAATCAAACTAGTTTAAGCAATTTCTTACATTTCTCTATAGACTCTAAGGTTCATATCTACGTATGTACGTATGTATATGTGAATATCTATAAGTTCGCCATAACTGTTCTAATTAATTTAAAGTGGTTTCGAGTTTTCCAAGCAAAAATCAATATCGTCACGCAAGCTTCAATTTGGTTAAAAGTAGCAGATACAAACTTAACTACTTTGAAATCTTTTTTCCATGACCCTTTTGATAGACATGTATGTATGTACATGCTCTACGTGTAATAGCGTATTAAAGCAAAATGTCATCGACCTAAAATTATATACAAATGTGTCCTTCAAAGAAACTAAAAATTATCCTTCCTAGTATCCAAGGCATTAAATTAATAATCCGTAATAATTAACATCGTTTTTAAGGAACTTTAGAAATGTATTAGATATTATCAGTTAAGCTTTCGACCGTGCTTTCAACGTTGGTAATGCTTAAATTGTTAGTTAAGCGAATGTTTTTTAAAAGGCTTATTTTGCTTAGTGTGTTTGCCTTCTAATTTTTTATTAGGCTAAAGTTCGTTCGAAAGAATGCTATAAACATATATTACGGTTGCATACTTACAATTTCCGGCACTGGTCGGAGAGGAAGTTTCAAAACTTCAAAGACATATATAAAAGTCCTACTGCAAATTTTATAAGAGCTCTAAATTGTTAGTTTGCAAGAATTCCTTGGGAGTGTCGATAAAATTCGATGCTAGCTGCTTACACTTTGATCTTGTAAAAAACAGGGCAGACGAGAAGGTAATTTTGAGACGATTCCAACTCATCATTCTCCGAACAGCTATGGGAATAGGGGTCCGAATCGATACTAAGTAAATCTCATAGCGTGGTTTCCTATTGGGCAGTGCCCGTTCAAGACTCCTGCCAGAATTGAGAGATGGGGCTTATCTAGCCCTTCATCGAACGATAGAGTAAAATCTATCCAGGAACAAAGCACACATTGACACAGGAGTTATCTCTCATACCATGACCTGCAATTTCCTACAACTCCATTGTACTCTGGAACTCTAATCAGCCTGATTTTAAAGTAATCGGGCCGACGGATCCCAATTAGAATGATATGTATGTAGAGAATGTATGATGCATTGCGGAACGAGTTTCCTTCACCCCTTGTCAAAGTTGGGTTGGGGACAAACAAGTTTCATCGTTGTGAAATAACGGAAAATCGTTCCACAATGCACCGACAGATTATCTCTGGAGATAGACCCGACCTCTATGCTATGATGCTTCTTATAAAAAGTAATTAACTGGTTAATATATGGAGCCCTAACCGCCAAAAAGAAGTAAGTGACATTTATTCAAAATTTTATTCTTTTTAATGCAGCAATGCATATAGAAGCTCTAAGAGTATTTCTGCGTCAAAAATAACATTAAAAAAAATGTCACTTACATCTTTTTGGCGGTTAGGAGCCGATATGCACAAAACACTTCTAGAGTAAAACATAATCATTTCATGAGCATCCTCCTATTTACTACTTAGAAACGTAAACTTTGGTGCCAGCACCTCTTTCGGCAAGAGGAAAAATTTTGGAAGGTGCCGCAAACCCTATCTCGGAAAAAATTTCTTTGAACCACTCTAATGTACACAATTGGTATTTATGAAGACGAAATTCGTGTTACTTTACAAGACCATATACTAAAAAAAAATTTAAAATGGAACAAAGTCCCTTAGCCTTATTAAAAAAAAATTGGGGATCTTAAATTTACTTTGGTTTTTTTCTTGTTCCACTCACACAAAGCGATAAGCCAGCGATTTAGGAGGGAGGAAATAGATTACGAATTGATACATTTATGTAGACTGAGTGTTCAAAAGCCGAAAGCTTTAATAAGGATTAAATTGTCGTTATCAACAAAGGATGTCAAGGCTAACTGTTGCTTTTTGTTATCTTCACTATGCGGGCACACGTACATACGTGTACATATTTACATGGATGTGTATGAGTATATATGTATTTCTCGTTGTTACTAAGTACCATGTAAGAATTTGTTGCGGTTGAATAAATATGTAGTTGAGCATTGAAAAGGAATGCAATGAAAGCAAACGCAAGATATACACATGATTGAGCAACATACTGGCTTGAAGCTTCATTACAAGGATATCCTTAAATTTGTCTTACTCCGCCACGTACTACTCAATTCACTTAGCTACTTAGCTCGTTGGTTGCCCTTCTTTTAGTTTCACGCTTAATAAAACAAGAATTTGTGTGTGTTTTATAGTGAATTACTCAGACGCTACGCATGTACTCGTAAATGTTGATAAAGTGTATTGTGGAGAAGCATTCCTTATAATGGAGATACTTATGCGTGTACATTACGGTAATCCAAATGTGCGTGTGAAAAAAAAAAAATCGGATTTTTAATGCTCCCACCCCCTAGAATTGTTTTATACGGAAAAAAATTATTCACCTGTTTTTTTATTTTCAAATCGAAAAATATTTAGAGCTCGCTCAAAGCGTTCAAAGTTTTACAAGTATTTTATATGGAGAAAAAAATACAACTTTTCGTAGAAATTATATAGAATTTGTGAGAATAAATATTTCTTTTACTTCATAGTCTAAGATCCGACAAAGGCACGACCTTCACCCATCTGTTTAATGGATGAAATCTTTTTTCTATGAAATCTTTTTTCTATNTTTTGCGAGTGGGTTGGCTGAAAAAATCCTGGCCAGGATATTTTTAATTAAATATTCAAAAATTATTTAAATTTTCTACTAATTTCTTTAATGAACAAATTTTATACCAATCGAAAGCATTAAGCCTATAGAATTTAAAAACGTTGGGTTGTCTATCTTTTCCTGGCCTACCTATCTAGTTGGCAGGTATGATAAGGTAGGTAATATTAGTAATTTTCACTCATCTGTTTAACACATTCTATAGGCTTTATATTTTCGATTGGTATAACTGTACTATGTTCATTAAACAAATTAGTGCAAAATTAAAAAAATAATACTAATTTTTGAATATTTAATTCAAAATATCCTGGACAGGATTTTTTCAGCCAACCCACTCGCAAAATATTTATTAACACGTTAAATTTCATACAAAGTAGATTTCATCCATTAAACAGATGGATGAAGGTTGTACCTTTGTCGGATCTCCTACTATCAGAAGACTGCCGATAATAATACGCAATTATTTATTTTAACATTTTTTATTGCTAGCAATTTTTTATGGATACCCCCATTGCATGTTTTGAGGTTTTTATGGGTCCTAATAAGTACATAACCTCTTCAGTGCAATATCAAGAATTCTTTCGCTCCAATCCAGTACAAATAATCTTCTTTGATTCTAGTGTCAAGGCGTTACAAACTTTTAGTTATTCATTGCAGAGTACTGCACTCTTTTCCACCTTCTCTAGCACAGAGGTGGTTAATTTATTACTAAATTTTTGACTTCAAGCCATCACTTCTTACATAGTTGTAGACCTAACCAGATTTGTGTATATCCAGAAAATTTGTTTGGATAATTTCAGTTCCGCTCAATTACTCTTTTACAAATGTGAAGAGCCTATCTTCTAGAGTACTTTTGTTACTCCGAAGATGAATGCTGGTTCTCGTCCAGGGTAAAAGAAGATGAATTTACCATAGCTCCACATTACATGGATCACTGGGTCGAAGTTACTAGAGCGATTGAGCATTGAATTTTTTTCACGAATAAGTCGCAACTTAATGTTTGTGTTAGTGTATGCTTCCGGACTGCTGTATCGTTTTGCAGGCAGAAACTTTTGTCATGAAAAGAGCAATACACTCATTACTTAAAGTGTGATTCGAATGGGTCTTCTTCTTTATTGGCGCTGTAACCGCCTAAGCGATTTTGGCCGAATCCATGCCAGTCCTTATCAACCTGGTCTTTCCAACGCAGAGCGTGCATTCCTCTTCCTCTGTTACCAGCATCACGGCCCGCGTTGATTGCTTTCAGAAGAGGAGCGTTTCTTTCCATTCGAACGACATGGCCAATCCAGCGGAGCTGAAGANGCCCGCGTTGATTGCTTTCAGAAGAGGAGCGTTTCTTTCCATTCGAACGACATGGCCAATCCAGCGGAGCTGAAGAATTTTAGTTCGCTGCACTATGTCCATGTCGTTGTAAAGCTCATACAGCTCATCGTTAAATCGTCTGCGGTATTCGCCATCGCCAACGCGTAAAGGCCCGTAAATCTTTCGCAGAATCTTTCTCTCGAAAACTCCAAAAGCCACTTCAGCAGATGTTTTCATTGTCGGAGGTATGGACAATGGCCATACACCGGCACAGGCATGATGAGTGACTTATAGAGTGTGATCTTTGTACGACGACGAGAGGACTTTACTTCTCAATCGCCTACTCAGTAAAGTAGCACTTGTTGGCAAGAGTGACTCTCCATTGGATTTCAAGGCTGACATTATTATTGGATCACCCAATCCAAATTCCAGCTTCGAGACTAAAAACCACATCTGATGCTTACTTGGCACCAGGCAGACGATTCCACTTCATAAACCTCCATGTAGCTGGCGCAGTAAGAGGCATCGATGATATTCAGCCTTACGGCATGTTTACCTATTCCGCGGTGACCTGTTAGAACAACCACGAAGGTAGAGAGGTGTAATTTGCCAAATTTCAAAGGCTCCCTGGATCGCTCCAGTCGACATGTAGGCAAAAACCCACCTTGCATTCCAAACTTTTCGCCCTGCTGACTAAACGCCCAGCTGTCCAGACCATCTTGATCCGGGAGAACTTCTTTACGCGTTCCCTGTCTTGCCAGCTCATCGGCCATACAGTTTCCAGCGATTTCGCCGTGACCAGAAACCCGCATAAAATTAATAGCGTAGTAACGCTACCGTGATTCGTCAGCCTAAATTTCAGGTTGACCATAATTCCAGATACTGCACTCTGTCTCAAATTTACTTTACAGTTTCAAGGCCACAAATCATTAAAAAAAGATGATTGAAATGCATGTAGTCCGTTTTGGTGAAATGAAATTTTCTAGGAAACAAACAAAACAACCAGATCTATCAATTTTACCAGATTATAAAAGTGTAATGTGCTTACAGCGCTTCAAAAAGATACCAAAACTCAATTTAGTTGGATACTGAGATCAAACAGCAGCAGCAGCAGGCAGCGACGATGAAAATCGATCAAAATTGGACATTCACAAGAAAAAGGTTTTTGGAGAACACATAGACAATCATAGAAAATATGCTAGTTGTTGATTGTTTGAAAACTTCAGCTTATGACTACAGTCACGTAATTTCCGATTACCAATTATTCCAAGTTTAAAGAAATTTCTCATTGAAAAAAAACCAAAAGCCTTATACTCGTACAACCAGCTCAGCAACAGAAAACAGTGTAAAGTTGTTCCTCCTTCTTTACACAACATACAACGCTACTGAAATTGGAAGAAATGTGAGAAAATTAGAGTGTGTAGGTGAAAATTGTTAGTAAGTGATTTGTGCATAACGAATTTGCATGCAACTGCCAATTTAGTGGAGCTGGTATGTCCAACTCAACTGAATGTTGTTGTTTACCATTCGTACTCCAGCGGTTGAAATTTGCCCCAATTTTGTGGCAATGTTTCTATACTCGAGCATAAATACATATTGTTGGTTTGTATGTCGTTGTTGTCCATGGAGTTGAATTTGATGTATAAGCATGAATTACCTGTGCGTGACATTCATTCAAGAACCCAGCAATAAAGGAATAGAGTAGTATATCGAGCCCTAGCCGCCAAAATAACGTAAGCGACATTTTTTTCAAAATTTTCTTTTTGATGCAGAAATATTCCTAGAGCATCAAAATGCATTTCTGCATCAAAAATAAAATACGTTATTTTGGCGGTTAGGGCTCGATATAATAAAATTTGGTTCTAACTGCGCAAATGCTTAAGAAAAATCATTGCCTTTTTATTATCTTACAGATAGTTCGTATGTCGTAATGGTTGGGCGTTGCGGCCAATTTACGGTGCATTTTGCTTATGGTATCTAAGCATACTATAAAATTACATTTCTGGTAAAAGTTATAGCTATTTCGGATATGACCACTTCTTCTCATCAGACTTCTTCAACTGGGATTCGATTCAACGACCCCGGCCGCCTAGCCAGCAGTCGACCACCCACTGAGCTAAGTTCGCCACATAAATTGCTGTTGCTTTTTCCACTTTTGCATTTGTTAAGCCAACTACAATCAAGCGCAGCTATTCCACTGCTATTTCAGCTTGATCATGTGGTTGTTGTTTTTGTTGGTTTTTGCTAATAATTCTATTTTTAGAATGTTTAATTTTAGGTATAGTCTTCCTAAATCAATTATTTTTATTATTTATGGCCTTATAACAATTATATTCAACATTTTTTATTGAACTTGAGGCCGTTTTTAATAGAAATTTTTGTGAAAAAAAAATTATTAAACATTAACTAAACAAAAGTAAAGCATCCAAAAACTTGTAGAAAGTTGCGTTTCCATTTTTTCTCCCACCACTGTATATGTAGACATGTGCTTGCATAAGTTAGTATCTGGCAAACACAGTTAAAAACTTTTACGCCATTTAACACTCACCCAGGTATGCCGCCGCTTTCCATGTGGTTAGCTAGTGTCACATCATTCGACCACACATCAAATTGCCACTTGACCAAGCCCAGTACGCCACAATGCACACGTCCGGTGTGTATGCCAACACGCATATTAACATTGACAGCCATCACCTCACGAACAAGCCTGAATATATTGGTGAAAAGGAAGTATCAATAAGTATGTAATAATAATATTTAGCTAAGCACATATACATATATATGTATGTATATTAACATATCTGTGTGCTTAGTATGTATACGAAAAAATCTTAAAAAGCACATTTGGAATGTTTAAAACGTGTTAAGAAAAAACTTTTCTAAACCTAAGTGTAAAAACGTGTTCGAACGCCTACGAAGTAGACTATAACCTCAGGGTGTTTCTTGTCATTTTCTTATTTCTTATTAACATTTTTTTGTTTTCGAAGCAAAAAAGAAACAATTCAGGGATGTATGTATGTATTAATTTGGTTGCACTTACGCTATGGCATCAATCATGTCTAAACCCATTTCCACGGCACAATGTGCATGATCCGGCCGTGGCTCGGGCAAGCCAGATACACAGTAATAACAATCACCCAAAAGTTTGATTCGCAGGCAATGGTGCTCAGCTGCCAATCGATCAAATCTGCAAATTTGAAGGAAAATATCGTAGAAAGAAAAATTTTATAAAACCAGTTTATTTACATAATACCTAAGAAACTTTACAGAAATACGGGTTTGAAATTTTTTTCGAAAAAAAACACCTTTTCCCAATTCGCAAAAAAAAGTTATTTAATCAGGAAGGTCTCTCTAAATTGGTACTATAACATAAAAAACTATAATAAAAAATCGGAGATGGAAAAGTTAAATGGTGTCCGAATTGGGTTGTTATGTATGTACATTAGGGTGATCCTTAAAAAAATCAAATGAGCGATTTTTTTCGTTCTCACCCACTCAATCGGTAATAGCACGGCCACAGATATCAAATATAACTTTTGCTCCCGATTGGAGACGGTTAAGGCGTGTCGCACAGGGAGCAAAGTTCAGATTTCTCTATATAGACTTAAAAAATTAAAATGAATTTTTATTCATCTAATATTCAAAATCGATACTACCATAGTCGAAGATACTACATATAAATGTTGGTCCCGATTGGGATCGGTTAAGCCGTCTTAATAGGGTAATCTGAACATTGACCCCTTTGCGGTCTGATGTAAAAATTTACTTCTTACATTTAAGGACCACCCTAATGAGCATACGATATTTAACGCTCTACTGCATGAATTGCGACAGAGATGAATAAAAAAAATTAAAGTGTGAAGAACACCCTTATTTACGTATCAATACACGTACGTATACATACGTATGTATACACGAATATCCGAACGGATAATAGAATGTACGCATAGTCCCCCAGCCCGACCGAGCAGTATTTGAAAATTTTGAATTGTTCATCTCCCATCAATGCCTATTTAAAACCCGGTTGCTTTATCCATTCTTAAGATGTTGAAAATATGTTCAAAAAATATACTTTTAAAAAAATTAAGTTAGCACTTTTTAGAATTATCCAGTATAAAATTAATAGCGTTATATAAAAGACTGAGTAAAAATAATCAAACATTTCACGAAATTTTCCTTCAGTTCACCACTCCAACAAAATTTCATTCGCCATTATCTGAAATGACTAACACCGTTTAAAGGTTCATTATTGAATTTCTAATAAATACACAGAGTAAGCACTGTAATCCACAAATTCGTGCCAAGTTAGCCACATTACTTAAGCAAACACCTGTGTCAATTTATGAAGGCATGCAATGATTTGTTGTTTTTTATGAGACATTGTAGCATAGCCATTAATTATTTTACTTGAAAGAGATGAATCGTTTTTGGCACTTATGTAAGGCGTTTAACAATTTCAGGTCACAAATGTTATTCCCTTATTGTAATTTATGCAATGAGGCTGTTATAATTTTTTAACATGATGCAAGTCATATTTTTGCAATGCCAATTAATAAATTATTGTCTTCCGACAAACCCAGTAAGAAATGCACGCCAGGAAAGTTAAACTCAGGCAAGCCCATACATATGTAGAAACCAACTAATTTCGCTCGTGCATAAATAATAAAATAATAATAATAGATTGGCGCTTACACAATATGTTAGTGTTTGGCCGAGCTTCTCCTCCGATTTGTGGCGTGCGCCTTGTTATTGATACACAAAGGGACCTTCAGTTTTTTTCGCGATTTTTTTTGCGAGGTTGATTTAACCGGGTTTTGAACCCAGGTCCTGCAGAGTGGAAGCGTCCACTGCTATCCACTACGCCACAGCGGCCGCCATGAATACTGTACGAAATAAATAAGGTAGCGGCCTAAAGGAATCCAGGGATTACAATTTTCTCTTTCATAGCTTCGGTCTTTTTCAATTTTACTTAGCAACTTTGATCAATGTAAGGAAACAAATTTGCAAACCTGCATACCAATTTTGAATCGAATTGGTTTTTGAAACGAACTGACGTTTTTTTTCTGGCCGTTTTTATTTTGAAATGCCAAAGCCAAACCGAAAATCACAGATTTAAACACAATTTAAGTAATTTATTTTTATATCTTAGGTGTCGTCTTCGCTGAAATGACCCTTATATAATAAGCTTAAAAATTTATAATAATACAAACAAGTAATTTTTAAGCAAAATAAACCGACTTCAATTCTCTTATAAAAGTTTAAGATTAACGTTAGTCTCTTCATCATCCAATGATCGGATTTAAACCAAATTAGAATGGGACCACCTGTGAGGTAACACCTTTCCTTTAAAAAAATAATTATAGAAATCGGTTTATGTGGTCCAAAGTTATACGGTAACATACATAAAAAAATATATATATATTCCGACGAATTGATAACCTTCCTCCTTATTGAGAAGTCGGTGGAAAATAATGAGCATTAAATGAGGAAAAAATAGGCAAAACTGGTCAAATGCGCACTCCTATTATTTTGACCACTTTCGTTTGAAGTTAAGGCCAAGTATATGCTCCAACCCATCGAAAATTAGGATTTCAACCAAGATTTTGAGTGTCCATTGAAAATACTAAGGCTTACGTATTATCCAAACCTTTAAAATATTTATTAAAAATTTCTTAATTTCGCTCTGGGTATTTTAGAAAAAAGTAAGTAAGTAAGTACATA